AGAAAGCTAGTTGAAGAGGTTTGGGGATTTTGAAATTGACCTCATTAGAATATCTGTTCTGGATTAGCCTTACAAAAGGTAGACTTCTACTTGTGTGTTTTATACACTTTTGAATATTCTTCTTCACTCTTCAGCTCTTATGTATTTTAATTTGTTTTAAAAGTGACTCTGATTGGTTGTTCAATTTGTTTTTAAATTAAGATCTGCTTTTGTCAATGCTAACAGGTTATTTATTTATTTATTTATTTTGCTCTGTAACAGAGTTTATTCATGGAGTTTATTATTAGCTGCTTTTCTGCCAGGCCACTTGGACTCTTAATGACTATTGCATATGGTTTATGATATACTTTTTATTTTCCCAGTCCTAGGGCTTGAACTCAGGGCTTGGGTGCTGTCTCTGAGCTTTTGGGCTCAAGGCTAGAGTTCTACGAACACTTGGGCATAACTCCATTTCTAGCTTTTTGATAGTTAATTAGATATAGGAACCTCCAGACTTTAGTACCTGGTCCGGTTATAAGCTGTGATCCTCACATCTCAGCCTCCTGAGTAGCCACTGTCCTGGTTAAGGGACGCATTCTTATAGCTACTGTTTCTGGTACCCGCTTCACAATTAGCAGGTTGACAGTATTACACACACACACACACACACACACACACACACACACACACACACACACACACACACGGTTCATTTGATCCTTCAGGGATCAGAGAAATGGAGTTATATAAACCAGGAACATGTATCATATGTACATGTAAGCCAAATGGAAGATTTAAGCTAAATAAACACAGGGTGGGTAGGGGAGGGAGCTGGGTGAGAATGTTGAAAGGAGTGACAATGATCAGTGAATGAATGAATGTTTCCAACATGAATCCAAGTCTTTTACAAGACACCTTACCCTTTTCTGAACAATCCAGATCTTCCTTGCCATAATACCTTCTTTCTTTCTCTAAGGTTTAGTTACACCTTAACTTTTTTTATTCCTGTAAGACTTGGTTTCCTGTAATATTTTTTCATATTTGTCTTCTCGTAAAGAAAAATTCTAAGTGATTTATTTTACAAGAGTGTAGCCATGAAATATGCTTAAGTTTTTAGTCATATTTCATTTGTATTACTTACCAGTGGGATTTGTGTTATTTAACTGAATTCCCTCTCTTGTTGAGATTTCTAGGGGCCTGATGAAGTCTTCTGAGCAGTGCTCTATTTGTATTTTTTTTTTACATTTCTTATCAAATGTCAGTTCAAAAAATAGTGGACCTTTTGGTATAGTGAAACTTAGCCATTTATCTATTCATTTTAATAGATTAATTTACTTATTTATTTTTGGAGTCCTGAAGATTGAACTCTGGTCATCATTCTTGTTAGATAAACAGTCTGCTTCTTGAATCTTGCCTTCAAAAATTTTTTTTATTTCAATGTTTAGATATGTTCTTGTGGTTTTGCTTGGAGATCCTCCTTCCTTTGTCTCCTAAGTGACATGTGCCATCACTGTTCATTACCTGCTTAATTTTTTAATAAGGTTTTTTCAAATGCATAGTGTTAAACATATAGATATTTGAAATCCTCTTTTTTCCCCCCTCTCTGTGCAACAGCTGCTGTATTCCTCTCTCCCCTCTTGTGTTTTTGCACAAGTCTGTTACACGTATAGTAGGCCCATTGCTGTTCTTGCCTGGATTACCAAGGTTATTTATTCTCTGCAGGAGTGATTCCTGATTCCATGTAATGCCTGACTTAGAAATTCACCCTATAGATTTGCATAAAAAGACTGCTAGAAGTACTGCTCGTAGGAAACCTCTTTAGCTTTGTTAATGCAATATTTATTTAAACATTGAACTTTTTTTCTCTCTTTCTCTCTCTTTCCCTCTCTCCTTGAATCACAATATATGATTGCATTACTTTGTAGTTGTATTCCAGGAAGTATTGCCCAGGGCTATTAGGAGAATTTTGATTTTAGGACTATCTTTTAAAGATTATGCTAACTGTAAATTTGATTACCATGTTTCTTATAGTTCAGCTCAGTTCAATAGTTAAAATATGAATAGCACAGGGTCAAGAAAAGAGTCTTTTCCTAGAAAAATAGATTATATAAATGGGAAAGAACGGGTATTCTTAGTGGTTGTACATTATTGAGATGTGCCTCAATACATTTATCTTAGAAGAATCCTTGGGCAGTTGATAAGAAAAGTGGCTGTTTTCTTATTTTATGTACTTATTCTTTTTTGACATTAAATATTGTTCTCTGCTTTATGATTTATTATCTGTTATTAATAATGGTTTCATGGGCATGCATGAAAATTCTTTCAGCAAAGTATACTATACTTTGGTCTGGTATTTGTCCTTTTGTTTCTCACAATTCTTCAAGGGATCTATCATGGAAGAAACATCATATATAGATAAAATATATAAAATAAATCCTGATAGTCTATTATAAAGCACATTTGAATTCTTTAAATTCAGATTTAAAAGTAAGCAGATCTAGACAGCATAATATCTTCATCTTGTGTTTTGATAGTTAGAGATATTATTACATATTATCACTAACATTTAGTTAATATTATTAACTACTTTCCAAGATGTTTACCACCAAATAAACCCATTTTGATAGGGGTATACTTTGGGGAAACTCTCATATAAACACCCTCCCTGATTAATACATGAATATTTCTTGAATAGTGCTTAGTAGTTTTAATACATAGATAATCAAGTGTGCTACTACAATAGTCAGACTTTTATTTCACTTTTTTTCTTTTCCATATATATTTTTATTATAAAAATACTGTACAGAGGGGTTACAGTTACACGAGTAGGGTAATGAGTACATTTCTTATCGAGCATTGTTACCTCCTCCTTTGTTTTTCCCTTACCATCCCTTCCCTCCCAACCTCCCACTTTTTGTCAGTTTTGTTCTATGAGTCATTATATCCTGAAAAATAGTAACAGGCATTCCATGTACATGAAAAGGATTCTATGGTCAAATACATTGAGAGAAAGTAAATAAGATATCCCATTTGGAAAGTGAGAGTACAGTAGCATATTGAAGGTTCCGAGGGACCTTGTCTAGGATTTTTTTTTTTAAAGAAAAGACTACCTATTTTTCTTTATCCTAATTTTTCTAAGCTTTTGAGGATGAAACCCTTTGTGTTGGTTTCTACCCCCCCCTGCCGCCCCACTAAATTTACTTATTGATTTCATTATGAGTCATGACTAGTGAAGGTAACTTTTCTATCAGCACATCAGCCTGAACACTGCCCTTGGTCTGTCTGGCCCACCTTCTAGCTAGCTGTCTCTACCTTCTTCATATTGCATCTGTCTCCTGCTGTGTGTATGAGGAATGCTGGTAGAATTCTACTGAGGGCATAAGAGGTAACAGCCACATTTCATCATCCATCCACATATTCATCTAGTAATGCTTGAGGGCATAGTAAGAACAAAGTGGCACATGCTTCGTGAAGATATGAATATGTTTAAATTACAGATGCTTCCAATCAGACTGAGGGATGAGACGGATAGAAAGGAACTAACCAAAAAAGGGTGGGACACCAGCCCATCAAAGCCTAGATAAGGAGAGAACATGCTCAGCCACAGGATCCTGAAAGGCCTGATGAGAGAATTGGCATTGAAAATAGTCTCTGAAAGTCACCGAAGATTTTTGTGCTAGAAATGGCACAACCAGAAACACAAAGATGGAAGGATACTGGCTAATAATGTGTGGCGCTCTGGATTATTCAATCTGATAGACTAAAGGAGAGAAATAATTACATTTGACATTACTGATCTTACCTAAGTAAAAATGATGTGTGACTAGGAGATCAGAAAAATTATAGCCTGATGAAGTGTACAGCCAACCAAAAATATTGCTTTTTTTTTTCTTCCTGTTGTTCTCTCAACAGGCCAGGGAGTCAACTACCAAGCTAGAGTATAGAATAATGCTATAAAAAGGCCTTTGAAAATTCAGCTCTTTTCAGTACTTCTTAATTTTTATATCCTGGAGATTGCTTAAATTACAGGCCACGAGCAACAGTAAAACAGAAAGATGCATTCACAATGCTGACCATGTTAAAAACTGGTGACTATTGATTTATGTTCACAGTTTTATGAAAGTGTGTGCTGTTGTTACATGAATACTTATTTCAGTATTAAGAACCATTCATCTGGTACTAGGTTCCTAGTAATGACACTAAGTCCCTTTCTTTTGGAAAGAAGAGATCCTTTTTGTTAAAAATTAACATCACTCCTGACATTACTTTACTGAGAAGTATGAATCATTTTTTAATCTATTTGAGACCTTGTTACATGTCCTTCCTACCAGACTTGTAAGAAATGATTTTATACTTTACTTTTTTCCTTTTCCCAAACTTTACTCTTTTTCCCTTTTTTCCATTTTCTTTTTTTAAATCAATTTTATTGTCACAATGATAGACAGACGAGTTAAGGCTACTTGTATAAGGTAGTGAGTACATTTTTGTTGACTTTTTTCCATTTTCTATACTTTTTTAAAACTATTTTATACTTTATTTATTTTTCTTTTCCTAGTGACTGGTGATGCAGATATAGGGAGGAAAGAAAATTTACCAGCTTGGGGGAGATGGGAGAGAATGATGAAAGGGATGATTTTGATCAAGTTGCATTATAATCACAAACAGACATATTGAACTGAAACCTCTTTGTACAACTTCTTAACGATAATAATAAAAAAAAAGAAGGTGGTTAGTGGTGGTGGAAGAGGAATAAAAGGAAAACACTTGAGAAACTTTTCTTTAGTGACCTGTGTGATAAAATTAAGATTGTACCCATTGTATAACTTGCATGGTATATAGTTCACATTTACTCTGAGTAAATCATGAACTTCACCTAATGGAATAGAAAGTTTTATTTTAACATGGTATGTACAGGATGAGGGAGAGAGATTTGGGAAATCTGAAACTTTAGGGAAATAGATTTTAGTATTCACTGCATTTTTGTGATATATACTTACACTACCTTGGTCCTGATCTTGTAGAAAGTCAGAACTTCGAATTAACAAAGCATCACTGGCTGATTCTGGAGAATATATGTGCAAAGTGATCAGCAAACTAGGAAATGACAGTACCTCTGCCAACATCACCATTGTGGACTCGAATGGTAAGAGATACCTGCTATATCTTTTTTCCTAATCTATGAGACAGCTGATGAAGATGAATGGTAAGACTTATGATAACTGACTTCTATGGATAAAAGAGTCAATGACTTGACTGCCTTTTCTAAACAACTTAAAAAGAGTTACAGGTTATGTGTATTTCATATACATACATGCTCATTACATGTATGTCTCACACATAGGCATTGTGTATATGTGTGTATAAAATACAGATCTAGCTATTTTATATTCAAATATATATTTTAAGTGAGTACATCTGAATCTAGCTAGTAAGAAGATTTATTAACTTTTTGGCCTATGAATTTTGAAATTAATAAAATTGTAGAGGCCATGATATTCCTACTAAATATATAGGCTCCTCATTCAAGTTTCCTTAGAGACTGTCCAGGGAATATTTTTCTCAGAATTAGAAAGTGCTGCCTACCCTGACAGCTTCTCTGAGTTATTTTAGCTGGTGGTCTCTGTTTCCCACTTCCCTAGCACTCTACCAGCTTATGGATTCATCTGGAGGAACTGGTGATAACCTAGAAATCTTTTGTTTCAACTTTTTGGAATTGTCAGATAATGTTTCAAAAGCTAATGGCACTTACAACGTCAATACAAAGATCTATTAACTTAAAAAACAAAGACTAGGGGCTGGGAAGGTGGCTCAGTGGTAGAGCGCTTGCCTTGCATGCTCAAGGCCCTGGGTTCGATTCCTCAGCATCACATAAGCAAAAAGAAAAAGCCGGAAGTGGTGCTGTGGCTCAAGTGGTAGAGTGCTAGCCTTGAGCTGAAGAGCTGAGGGACATCGCCCAGGCCCAGAGTTCAGGCCCCACAACCGGACCCAAAAAAAAAACAAAAACAAAAACAAAAACAAAGACTAATTGCATCTCTTCTTCATAGAAGATGAGAAAGAATATTCATTGTGAAAATGGGTCTCTTCGAGGAATGAAAATGCCAGGTCAGCATTGTGGAAGAGTAAATTCCATAGGAAACTGATGTCTGTGATATAAGAGCATGGGAAAGAAGGGAGGAAGACAAAAACAGGGAAATCCACAGTGATGCCTGGTCCTATCTAGACTTTGCAGTAAACTACTCTATAGCAGTGTAGTCAAAATTCATTGATTTCATCTTAGGTATCTCCTTCCACAGATAGTAAAGGACAGGGAAAGTAGTTTCTGTTACTATTCCTAGGAGCTCTGCTTATGATATTTAGAGTTTATATGAGCAATTATGATATCATTATAGTTTTTAATCAGCACATGTTAAGCAACAGTATTTTGCGAGTATTACTTTACCCTACAAGGAATTTCATAGAAAGCCTCTTGAGACACAAATTTCAAAATTTACGTCTGTGGATCTTCACTTTTGTTTATGTCATGTTTTGAGGCATGATCTCATTTTGTCATTAGTTTTGTTTAGTGTTCCTCTTTCAGGTAAATGGTTTTGAATTACAATTTTGACACTTGGATTAGATTTATGTAACTTCATATTCTATCAAGTCCAAGGAAAATAAAATTGTAGTTCTCTGGTTTTACTGAATGCTTACAGAAAGTAATATTCTATTGGTTGTTTCATGCTTTTTTTAATATGCATGGTTAAGCATTGAATTATTTATCTCTATGGTGTTCTAGGAAAAGATTTTATAAGGATCATTTTATAATTATTTATCTGGAGTACTGAGAAGTGAATGATATACCTTTTCCCATTTCACATATAGGAGAGATATTGAATTCATTTACCCGTATTATTTCATTCAGTCTCAGTCTAGTGATCCAATTTGAAAATATGGTGTGGGGAAATTATAGTGATGAGAAATGAAAGTTGAGATGTTATTGATAATAAGTATAAGTTAGAATAAAGAGAAGTTCTTGGTATATTCTAAGTTATCCTCACAGAAACAACCAAAATTCTTTTGGGTAATTCTTGAGACATTAGGAATAAATCCTCCTTATTCAGTTCACTCATATTTATTTAAAAGTGATATACTTAGTAATCAGATTCATTTAGGATCACAAAGATACTTAGTGGCAAAATGGAACATAAATCAAAATTTCTTTAATTCCTTGCACACTGCAATTTATCTAAATGTGTGTGTGTCCATAAGTCTTTAAGGCAGACTGTTTTACTTGTAAAGAACAGAACCAAGGATATGGTGAGTCATAAGAAGAGAGATTTCATGAGAAAAGAACTGGACCTTCACTTTAACTGGGCCTCAAGTTCTTTGGAATGATTCCTTGTGGTTTACTTAAATTCGTACTCAGGTACCTTCTTGTGCTAGGATGTTTAGAATCTATCTGAATATAATTTTCTGAGAAAGAGCCTCTGGCTCTTTCCTTCTCCTGGGGTGACCTTGTTGTTTGGCACCACTTAATCCCATTAAGATGATTAATAGTTATTCAGACTAAATTAGATTAGATCATAAATGTCTTCCTTAGTAAAACTTTACTGTTTAGACTTACATAGATCAGCAATTTGGTATCAATGAAATGATAAAATCTTTATGGAAATTCCCAATGAATTGTCAATGGAATGCTTGCACTATTTACAAGAATTTAATATGTGTATATATATATATATATATGTAATCAATAAAAAATTTTGTTAAGCTATGTTTTAGGTTTTTTTTTTCTTCTACATTTCCAATGTCTTTCTGCTTATATTTGGAATGGGAATGAGAATTTGTCATTGATAGCTATATATAAATCTATACACACTGCTAATAATTTTTAAGACTATAGAAATCTTACATTAGATTTCATGTAAAGAAGGATCCCATAGGTGCTATTATGTGATGAAGTACAAGTGGATTCCTTTCATGAATTTATATTTGGCAATGGAAAAGGCCACACAAACTCTGTTTTCACAGCGCATACTCTCTATATTCATTTTTAGCTTAGTTTATTTGGCTTGATCTTTCTGCAGGAAATCTTAATTTAGCAATTTATTCTTACTAACCAGTGCTATGAAAACTCCTGGAGAGCGTAAGAGGCTGGTTTCAGATTAATTAAATATTGCTTTCTTTCCAAAGATTAGTATAGGAAAATATATAACTAATCAATTATATCTTCTCCTAAGCTTTCATTTTTAATCAAGAGAAAAACTATTTGAGTGAGATTCAAGCTCCCATAGGATTGGTCAGTAGCAATAAAATAGTTGATTCATTTTAGAAGAGCAGGAAGATGCTCTTTTTATAAATTTTGATTAAATGATCAATTAGTGATTTTAAAACTGGTTCAAGTGGGTAATAGGCTTAACCTATTCTCCTCTTTCAAACTGACAAGGTTGTTGGAAATGACATGATAAAATCCATACTGTATACTAAATGGCATTTAAAATAGGTTTTATAATTTCTATATCAGTCTCCATATATATTATATTAAGTAGGACGACTATGAAGGCTAATAAGAAAAAGCAATTTGAAGAGAATATGTTTGAGAATGTGTAGTGTCTTTATGCTGTTTATTTCAAAATTTCTCACTTGGTTAATCAACCATTATGAGCAGGAAGATTTTAGATACTCAAAGATCATCCTGACCTTCTCTTTACCTTGCCAATAATAAATGTGCTCACTTTTATAATCTCCTATTAAAAATACTTCATTAATTTTGTTTGGGGGGGGTCTGGTCATGTGGCCTGAACTCTGGGCCTGGGCGCTGTCCCTCAGCAATTCAGCTCAAGGCTAGCGCTCTACCACTTGAGCCACAGCGCCACTTCTGGATTTTGTCTTTTTGCTTATGTGGTGCTGAGGGATCGAACCCAGGCTTCAGGCATGCAAGGCAAGCGCTCTACCACTGAGCCACCTTCCCAGCCCCTACTTCATTAATTTTTATATACACAATAGTAACCTATAATTTTTTAAAAGTAAAAGACTCATAGAAATGGATGTTGAAATACACACTGACATGTCATAGGTATTTTGTATGAATCTATATGTATATTTTGCTAAGTATTTCTATTTAGTATGTTGTGCTCATGGTCAAATCTCAAGTAAGTCAAGCATTCATAATTATTAGGAAAGTTTCTTTTTCTTTAGGTGAGATTCAACTTACTGAAAATTATTCAAACATTATAAATACACCAATGTTCCCTTGATTCTCTTGTCTGCTCACCTAGGTGGCTTATGATAACAAATATTCAGTAGTTTACATTAATAGGGAGGAATGTCCTTTATAAATTAGTAAATTTAATATACTAAATACCTGTGGGAAAATATAATGCTTACATGGAGATTGTGGAGTAACTCTTTCTTTTTTGGGTCCGGTCGTGGGGCTTGAACTCTGGGCCTGGGCGCTGTCCCTCAACTCTGGGCCTGGGCACTGTCCCTCAGCTCTTCAGCTCAAGGCTAGCGCTCTACCACTTGATCCACAGTACCACTTCTAGCTTTTTTCTTTTTGCTTATGTGGTGCTGAGGAATCGAACCCCGGGCCTCAGGCATGCAAGGCAAGCACTCTACCACTGAGCCACCTTCCCAGCCCCTGTGGAGTAATTTTTTAATTTTGAAAGTATAATTTAAATTATTCTTAATCATATTTAAATAAAGGTTTAAAAAGTTCTGTCCATAGCACACATAAAATATGTTTACCTAGAGATTTTTTTAAAAACAAGATTAACCTTTCTTATTAGGGAAATTCCTTTTAAAAGATGGTGTGTGTGTGTGTGTGTGTGTGTGTGTGTGTGTGTGTGTGTGTGTGTGTGTGTGTGTGTGTGTGTGTGTGTGTGTGTGTGTGAAGTACCTGTTAACTTCTGGGCTTGGATTTCTCCCAATATTAATTCAGCAAGTTTTTATTTGAAACCATAATCATTAAAGATATTTCCAAGGTCTCCAGGATAAACATCTAATTTAAGAAGGGAGGTTATTTTAAGTTCCCTCTGTGTACACGCAGCACTGTAGTATCCTCTTCTGGTATCTTTTATGCATTATTCAATTAAAAAGGAAATGTATGTTTAATCTTTCCTTTGATCTGAGGTCTTTTTTTTTTTTTTTTTTTTTGGTCACAGATAGACAAGCTCTACATTTTTCTTGTCTTGGAAGGTCACCGTTGACAACTACTTAGTTTGTCAAAAATAAAAAAATCTTAAGAAAGTCTTGATGTTTCCCTAGAGCTTGGGACTTTTGTCCAATTCTCATGAAGCACCTTAAGCTTCCTTTATCAATCTGACCATTTTGTTGCTGATATGTTCTGAGAGACAGAATGAGGAGGCTTCTCTCTTAATAATGTGAACATTTGTTTCAAATGTCTGGAGCTTCTAGGTCTTTTTAGAGAAGGGCAAACACAATGAAGCCTTACTAAAAGTGTTTCCCTCAGATTACATATTTCTAAAGAATAGTTTTCATTTCCTATAACCTAAGCCTGAAAAGCATCTTTCAGCTCCTTGAGAACCAGATTATGTCTATACTACCAGCTCAGAATACCCTCTCTAGTGCCAATCTCCGGACAATGTCCTAAGGACTTCCTACCACCTCACAATTAATTGCTTTTACTTTGTCCCACTTTTGGTAGGTACAGGGCTGGTATAGGGAAAATCTTGATAACAATGTTATTACTTGAATGGCGTTTCCTCCTAATCCTAGAAGAGAAAGGATCATCCACATTTAATTTGTATCTGAAAAACACACTTGATCTTTTTAAAGGTATATTTCTGGTATTTATATATTCATATTAGCACAATACTTATTTCTAAACATCCTTGTTGTATCTCACATGACTTTGCATTCCTTCTAATTCCATAAAACATTTGTCCCTAGAGAAGCTTTAGAATTTTGAAGAAATATTGTCAACTAAATTGATTCCTTTTCCCTAGGCCAATCACGGAAATCCTAATTAATCAGATCTATGTTCCAAAATGGCAGCACTAATGAGTACCTCGAGTTTCACAGTTAGCAGGGCATTAGTTCAGATATGAGCTGCTAGCAAATATGACCTGAACAGGATTTTTAGTCAGATCTGGTGTGCTAGCTACTATCACAATAGATTGGAATTATCTTTTTTTATCCTGACTGGAGAATATAAGATACTATTAACTTCATTTGAGAGGATCCATACAACCAAGGCTGAAAGTTATTGCTTCATTACATCCAGGCTTCAACAGCTGTGGCTAACAGAAAATACTAGAGTTTAGCAAACCAAATGCAGAATTAGATAATACAGCCATCCCTTTACTTCTTCCCAAAGGCAGTATGAAGGCAAGTTTAAAGTCTTGAATAAGAGTACCCAATTCTCATGATAATGGTGGTCCCCGGTGTGCAGGTTTATCCTTCATTCCTTTGGGATGGAAGCTTACTTCCACAGCTAATATCCCTGGTAGCTGTAATGCAGATTAGGCACCTGTCCTGATTTCCACTGGACAATTTTAGGTTGGAGTTCCATTCTAGAACTTGATGCTTTTCACCAATCCCAATGGGAAACATTGCTTGCTTTTGTTTATTTATTTTAGCAAAAACTAATAATTTTCTCAAGATCTAGAAGATAAAAAAAATCTGCCTACAGTTTTGTGATCCTATGCCTTTGACCTTCTTATTTCCCTGTTTTCAATTTCCTTTCTGAGGAGTGCACTTTCTCTTTGTCGCATATCTATCTTTCCTCACTGATCAGTGGGGCCATGAATTCTTCTTAACTGTTGGAGCACCATTCATCTCATGCTCTTCCCCCTGAAAAGAAGAACTATGTTTTTCTTCTTCTTCACATTTCTCACTCTGTGAGGCCCCAGTGTGCTTCTACTTTCTCGCAATACTTCCTTCCTTGTCCTCATCTGCAGTTTGAAAGCAGGCTGAGGTCCTGGCTTCCTCCTGATTATACATCATAATATCCTATCACCTTTTCTTTTTTGCAGAGATCAGCACTGGCATGCCAGCCTCAACTGAAAGAACGTTTGTGTCTTCAGGTAAGGAAAATAAGCCTGGCAAGTGTTACTAACCAGAATGACCCATCTAACTACTGGCTGCTCCTCCTACTAATCAGATCCCCTTCTGTATCCAGATTTTAGCTGATCCTGTTTTCTGAATCTGTATTTCTCTCCATCTCATTCTACCTTTCTAGATTTTACTTAAGAGAAGATATATGTCTGAACTGGGGCCTGAGAAACATGAGTGAGGGAAAGAAATCTGAATGGAAAGAGTGTAAAATATAAGAGAGTATTCCTAGACAGTGTTTCAGTGTCTTATTTCTGAGTGTCTTGTTTTTGAGACTCCAGTGACCAATTGTAATTCATTAAATAAAAATGAATTAACAAAAGCCTTACAGGTTTTTCTTTTCTTTTCTTTCTAATCTTCCCTTTTGTTTATTTCTTCCTATTTCTCACTTGTTTATACTATTCATTAGTGCAATACAAATAAACATTAATCATAACCCAACTCTAATATTTGCGTAACCATAATTAATCAATTTCCTCTCTTACGGTGAATTTGCCCACTCCATTGCATGTTGATGTTTTTTTAAATAGGGTCTCACTATGAAGTCTAGATCAGTCTTGAATTTGCAAACTTTTGGCTTCAGCTTCCTGTGTGCTGGAGTGTATGCCATCAGGTCTGGCTCTTTATTTCCTCCCTCTCCACCCCCTCCCCAGTTCCTTACCTTTTATAGTAAATAGCATCTTAGAAAAATTTTAAAGTAATCTTTATTTGGAAAAAGTGTTTTCAAGCATTAAGATTGAAAACACTTCCAAGGTACAACAATAACTTGTTTTCAACACATGCCCTTGTGTTTGCAAGATATTTATAACTCATTTTGTAGTTGCAACAAAACCATGAAATATGACATTGTTTTTCCTTGTTTTATAGATGAAACAAATGAAACATTAGAAATACTAAGTCATATATATTGGAAAGTAGGAGAGAAAGGATTTCGATTTTAAACTCAGTGTTCTTTTCATTGTCCCCTATTTAATATTTTGGTTTTGTTAATGTTCATTGTGGCCTGAGGCTTGGTAAAGCTTATGGTAGTGCTATGATTGCTGTGATAACAGACTTTATCCATCTCATCTTCATCATTGCTTCCTGTTTCCATCAGTCATGATTCAAAATCAGTATAGCTAGCTAGCTCTATGTCCTGACTGCTTTTTCTCAGAGTATGTATATTGGGTAGGACTGTGCTAGAATCATTTTTTTTTTTTTGCCAGTCCTGGGGCTTGAACTCAGGGCCTGGGCACTTTCACTGAGCCTCTTTGTCCTCAAGGCTAGTGCTCTACCACTTGAGTTATAAGTGGTAGTAGTTTATTGGAGATAAAAGTCTCACAGACTTTCATGCCCAGGCTGGCTTTGAACTGTGATCCTCAGATGTCAGCCTTCTGAGTAGCTAGGGTTATAGGCATGAGCCACTGGCACCTGGCCTGTGCTACTACTTAAAGTGGTGTTTCCTTTCAGAGAGAAGGAAGGAAGGAAGGAAGGAGGGAGAGAGGGAAGGAGGGAGGGAAGAAAAGAGGCAAAGGAGAGAAGGAAGAAAGCAGAGATTTAGAAAAGTGAGTGTATCTGAATCTCTACCTTTCATTCAGACATTTTTGTAATAAAAGATGATTATCTGACTAGTAGGTGTTAGGAACCTTGGCTTTTAAATTTATATGGTTCTTCTCTTGGGATTATAGATCGGATGTATTGTTTTCTGATATGTGACCTGTATTTCAATCCTTCTTTGATACTACTTTTTTATTAATAAGTGAAAACCCTTAGGTCCAATGCTTTTTTTCTGCACAAGTTATGTTTTATGCTCTGTCTATACTCAAGAGAATCTTCTTCCCATATATCCCAAATACTGTTTTCCTTAGCATGTTTTTTTTAACCCTAATGTAGTTGCTCTGGTAGGCCTTGCATGGACTTTACTTATACTGACCCAAATTGCTTACAAGTATGTTTAAACTCCTTTTTTTAATGCATGGATGTTGCCCATTTTCTCTGCACATGGTTTTCTGTTGGTTTCTATGTTTCTAGTAAACAAGCCTATAACTGAGTGAAAGGATTTTCTCTTTCACAGATTCTGTGGAGCTGTTCAGGATAATAATTGTCCAAGGTTTATTTGGCAGGGTTGAGATGTGGGCTCTACTATCTTTTCTTCCAAAGGTTGGATTTGTACAGCCATCATATTCCTCTGTGGTCGGTTGCACATATCCTTCGCTAGAAATCCTTCCACTTTCCTGTTATACTGCATTCTAGCACACTTTTTCAGATGAGACCCAAACAAACCTGGCAAAGTTCTGACATAAGAGTCTAAGTGGCCTGACTCAATAAAGCTTCATTCCACTTTTATGTTTTATAGAGTCTCCCATTAGAATATCAGTATCCACAGAAGGTGCAAATACTTCCTCATGTAAGTATACTTAAATATTTCTCTTCAGTAGTTTTTAAACCCGAGATAATAGCTTCTTCCATTAAATACATTCATACAATGTTTACCCTTATATTAGGCTTGGGAGCAGGCCTACATTGACTGGAGTGCAAATGACCTTCTATGCTTCGTATGAACTAGATATCTTCTTATCAAAAACTATGAGAATATTAAATGAAGTCATATGTGCTCACTTTAGGATAATCTAGTTTCTTTGGTGATTGGAAAAAAATTTTCATAGCTTCTGATGACTACTTTTGGGTGGTTTGGGTTTTTTTCCTAGCTTGTTTTCATGCCTTTATCAGCTCCCTAAAGCACAATACCTAGATATATGGGTATGTCAGTTTCAAAGCTCCTTGTTTTTCATATGAACTCTGAAACTGACGTAATGAGAAAAACATACGTAGGTGCCCTTAGTTCAAACTTGATGGTAAGTTACTAATTATGTGATGTTTGAATGAAAGTCCCTGGGTAAGGTCTCAGCTATATTTTCATCTGTTTAATGTGAAATGTGTTCCAAGTTTATGGACTTCTACAAATGTTGGATTGATTGGTGCTTTGTGCCATATCAAGGGTACTAAGGAAATTAGCAAAGACTAGTGAAAATAGTTTTTTGATACTTAGAAATTGAAAGCATGATATTAAATTTTGATAAAATGCAGGCATGTTTTTTAGACCTTGACAATTTGAACTTAGAGCTGCTATCTTTCTCTTTCTTATTTTTAGTTCTTTATTTCTCAGTTTGATAAGCTCTTCAATAAATGTATGTTCCCACTTAACCAATTTTAACCTGGAATGTATGCTTGAGAGACAATTTTTTTTTCTATCAGCTTGATGGGAAAACTCGAAGAAGTCTATAGTTTTGATAATTTAAGTTTCCTGGTCAATCTGCTTAAACACATAAGGTTTTGATCTTTCTCTCCAGATTTATAGAACCAGACTAGACCTATCTGTGTAGAAATACCTGTTATTGTCTGGGATGTAGCTCAGTAAAAGAGCATATGCTTTACATGTGTGAGGCCATGGGTCAATCCTCAGCACCTCAAACCATACAAAAACGCTGGGATAACCTGAGGTTTAGTGTTTTAACTATATAAAGTATCATTTAACAGAATTGATGGCAGCTATTGAATAAGATCACATAGGCAATGAAATGTTTGGAAGAGCTCAATTATCTACCTCTGTGTTCTAAGGGCACTCTTTACGTATTCACAATGATAATTCTAAGCTGGCCAATTAGAATATTTGTTATTATTCAGCTTATGAAAAGATTACAGTAATTCTTGTGCCTATTATGTAATTAAGGGATCATATTGAACTTTTAAAAAGCATTTATAATACAAAGGAAAGGTTTTCTCTTGGAAATTTTGTCTGAGAATAATTTGTCCCCTACACGATTCACTGGATACTGTCTTTAAACACATCCAAGCAGTTTTGGAAGGGGAGAAAAACTTACTTTGGTTTTCTAAAGGTTTAGGAAACTGGAATGAAGTGCTCAGTTTCTATTCCTACCATATTTATGGAGAAAGAAACAATTTTGGAATCTGGCTTTATTCTCTTACTCTCCGTAAAGTTGGTTCCTGGTATTTGGTGATAGGGGAGGGCTAAGAAAGCAAACTTATACCATTTGGTTAAAAATATTTTCCTGGTGCCATTTTTATACATTATTCTATGTTCAATACTGCTGAATTGACTAGTAAGTGCATTTTTAATCTCATGGAATCATATTTGGTAATTTGAAAATGTAAACCAAGAGTTCTGGACTCTGAATGCAAGCTTTGTGGGTGTAGACACATGAAGTCAGCTCTGGGCAGAACTTGTTTCTGAAGAGTCACAAGAAAGAAGTATCTACAATCAGAACAGGCTAAAGGAAAAATATGACTAATCAGCAGTACGAGTAAGTCGGCCTTAAAAATTCAAAATATATGAAAAACCCAGAGGCGCTGGAGAAGTTCAGAAAGGTCAGAAATTATCAGTTCTGGAAGAAATCCTACGTTTCTTTCAGCCAGAAAGGAGACACTAGTAAATCCCTGCATTTGGAAAGTGAGCTATGCTTTAGTAATGTAATCATGCCTATGTGGGTTACATTTTCTGCACTCTTGACCTTGGTGTTTTGAAGTACATTCTGAAAAGCCTTTCTTGAGTAGTGTGGATTCAGCAAACCTTTTATGTGTTATAACTAAATTCCTTGAACTTTTGGGATCACTGTGAAAAAGAAGAGGCAGCCTAGTGTCTTTTTATATCTGTAGGTCCAAATGGATCACTTTCTTTTTAATATTTTTAAATAATATTTTATTTTTTTGTAAGGGTGATATACAGTTACATAAGGAAGGTTATGAGTACATTTCTTGTTGAACAGTCCCTCACCCCCATTGTTTTCTCTTACTTTCCCTAACCCTTGGTCCCCTTCCCCCAAGTCTTAAAGTTCATTTCTAACATAGTGTCTTGTGAGTATTGCAGTTGCATTGGTTCACCCTTTGTCCTTTGTCTCACCATTTTGTTATTCCCCTTCCCTTCCCCAAATCAGATAAATGTATATACAAGACACAAGGTACCAAAATAAAAAACAGTGATAACAGGGGATAAACCAAAGGAAAAAAGAAAGAAAGAAAAAAGAAACAACTTCAAACAATACATTTAAAAAAGAGCAATAAAACCCCTCTCTTTCTATATCTTGAGTTTATTTCGATTAGCATCATTTCATATAGTCATGTATACATAACTATTGAGATATTGTGATCTTCCACTAGTACTATCCTAGACATATACTATTACAAATCTTACTTCTCTTAAGATGATTTTTTCCCCCAAATCTTTCCATTTGCTTATGAATGGGGTGATGTCATTCTGATGGAAGCGTAGAATTCCATTGTGGATATATACCACATTTTCTTGGTCCATTCATCTACTGAGGGGCATCTGGGTTGGTTCCATATCTTAGCTATGGTAAATAATGCTGCAGTAAACATAGTTGTGCTGGTAGCTTTAGTGTGGCCTTGTGTGAGATTATTTGGGTAAATGCCCAAAAGTGGGACTGCTGGATCATGAGGGAATTCTATGTTTACCTCCCCACCAGCAGTGTAGTAGAGTTCCCTTCTGGCCACATCCCCACCAGCATCTGTTGCTATTTCTTTTTATTTTATTAATAAGTTTTCTTTTTTATTGTGAAAATACTGTACAGAGGGGTTACACTTACACAGACAAGGTAATGAGTACATTTCTTATCAAGCATTGTTGCCTCCTCCTTTGTTTCCCTTACCATCTCTGCCCTCCCATCTCCCCCCCCCCCAAAGTTGTAAAGTTCATTTTTTGACATAACATCTTGTACATCTCATTGTTGGAATGGGTCCACCTGTATCCCTATTTAAATAATTTGTTTTTTCCCTTCCCCTCCACAAATTATACCAACATCAAATATAGTGAAAGCAGGGGTTATACCGTGGGGGAGGGTTGTCATTCTAACTGGAGTGAGGTGGAATCTCAGTGTTATTTTGATTTGCATTTCTTTCATGGCCAGAGATGTTGAACATTTCTTCATGTGTCTATTGACTAGTCTTATTTCCTCTCCAGAGAAGTCTCTTTTTAATTCTTTAACCCACTTATTAATGAGATGGTTGTTTCTTTGAAGATTTGTTATGGGGGGGTTAATTTTTTGAGCTCTAGGTATATTTTAGATATGAGGCCCTTGTCTGTTGTATAGCTAGTGAAGATCTTCTTCCAATCCGTGGGCTTTCTATTTATCTTGATAGCTATGTGCTTTGCCATGCAGAAGCTCTGCAGTTTAATGCAATCCCATTTATCCAACCTTTCTTTGATTTGTTGTTTCTGGATCTTTATTTAGGAAGTTTCAGCCTGTGCCAAGGATCCCTAGTGTATGCTCTATCCTTTCCTGTAATATTTTCAGGGTACCTGCTCTTACCTCAAGGTCTTTGATCCATTTGGAGTTGATTCTGGTGCTGGGTGATATATAAGGATAGAACTTCAGTTTTCTATACAAATATAGCCAATTCTGCCAGCACCATTTGTTTAAGAGGCTGTTTTTTTCCATCTGATGACTTTGGCTCACTGATCAAAGATTAGGTGGCTATAGGTCTGTGGGATCATTTTTGTGCCATTTGTATCCCATAGGCCCACAGCTCTTCTCTGCCCACTGCAGTTCCACTTTTGGACAACATATGTTGGATTAGAAAAACCCAAAAAGGTGAAAATTAAAACCACTGACCAACTCATCTGAAATAATGCTAATATTTTTGTAGATTTTCTTCTAGCTAGAGTCTTTCATTCTGACTTTTTTTCTTATCTCTCATTCCTCTACCCACTTTTTCTCCCACCTTTAAATACTTATTAGTAATAATACCTTTTTTTAATGCTGAGTATTGAACCAGAGTTTTGCACATACTAGGCATGTGTTCTACCAATATCTACCAATATCTGCATCCCCAGCCCTCTAGGTACTTTAAAAATCCTTGTAACAATATGGAAGTGATTTCCAAATGTGGATTCTAAGGGACATATTTTTCAATTACAATCACTTTATCAGGTTTTCTTCCTTTATTTTTATTTTTCTAGTGGTGTAAAATATTGGTAAAATATTAAAGTTACTATTCCTTTTGTAGGAACTTTTTAAACTGACCCTTTTTTTAATTTTGATAACTTACATTTTTAGAATCGTTAGTTATAATTTTGAAAATTTTTATAATAATCATTCTAGTAAAGATAAGCATTAGTTTCTCTTTTTGTAAATGACATTTGTTACAAAATCAATTGTAAGCACTTAGTTAAATGAGCATCTTAGTATACTTCAGTGGCAGCTTTTGGAAGAAGAATTTGAACCTTATAACAGACTATGTAAATGTAAATGGATTGTTTAGAAGAAAAAAAAAACATAATGACTTCTTCCAGAAGTGCCAGTTGCTGGTGACCCCATTCTGCGGACAATTCTTTTGAATGCTATAAAAAAATACAATTGGTATACAAACTAC